CCCGCCCCCTGCCGTGGGCTGGGCTTCGTCCAGCGCCCCCGAGCTGCGCTCCTGCACCTCCTGTCAGTCCGGGCTGGCTCTGGTCCGGCCGTAGGTGAGGATGATGAGATTCCCCAGCGTCTGGGCGCCTGGGACTGGTCAGCTGCGGCTGCGCCCCGGTCCAGGCTTGCAGTTGTCAGTGTGTACCTTCTCTTAATACGGGAAATGGCTCTCCTAAAGCCAGCGCCCCCTGCCCTCCCCGCCGCCCCTGCCTCTCTGCTGCAGCCAGCTGCTTTTTCTCTGCTGTTTCACTTTCCTAGCCACAAGTTTGGGAAGAAAGTCACCTACTTCAACTCCCTGAGTGAGCTCCGTGAGCACCTGCCCTACGACCAGCTGGCTGTCCCCCCGGAGGTCGTGCGGTGAGTGCCCCGAGACTCCGTCCCCACGAGGGCAGACCCAGCTCCGTGCTGCGGGGCCTCGTCCGATCCATTACTGTCGGAGGCTCCCTTTTCAAATGTGCCCGGCCAGACAGGGCTCGGGTTCAATGGCCTCAACACGAGCGAAGAAGCTGCCTGCTGGTGCCGAGGGGACCCCCTGGGCCCAGTGAGCGGGGTTGGTGGTGTTTCTTGCCCACTGTTGCAAACTGCATTTAAAAATTAGCCGGAGCACAGCAGCTGCTGCTCGCCCCTTGGTGCCCGCTCTTTTCTTGAGGAGAGAATCGGGAATTCTTGGCTGAGGCTAACAACAGACAGAGGCCGATGCTCCCGGGCACGTGGTGAGGGCTTTGGCGCTTGAACCATGCGCCATCACTGCAGGCTCCGGCAGTGTGTCTGCTGAGAGGCTTCACTGTGGGGCGAGGTGGGCACAGGGCAGCCCGGAAGGCTGCTCGGCCTGGGCCACACAGCCAATGTGGGGCGAGGCCAGTCCAGGCCTTGACACCCCACCTGGGCTCCCGCTACCCCTGCATCACCCCTCCTTGGGACTTCTCTGAGGAGGGTCCCCACCAAGGTGTGTACAGATGAGGTAGGGGGCATTGCAGGGGGCTGGGGACAGTGGCTGTCCCAATACCAAGTCACATGCCAGTGCTGGGGGTACATGTTGGGACAGGAGTGTGGTCCCTGCTCTCAGGACACTCCCAGGCCAGTAGGGGTCACAGGTCAGTGATGAGCTGGGAAAGGACTCATGGTGGGGGTGGGGGAAATCTGGGAAGGCTTCTGGGAGAAAGTGACTCTTGAAGTGAGTTTCAGAGGGATAGTTGGCTAGACTGAGGTTGTCAGAGAAGGTTTCCAGCAGATGGAGGGCCTCGTATAAACAGATGTGGGCGAGATTTGGGGTGTGGGCGAGATTTGGGGTGTGGGCGAGATTTGGGGTGTGGGCGAGATTTGGGGTGTGGGCTGGCTCTGTGTTCTAGTCGCTAAGGTGCTGGATCCCACATGGCCAGCCAGGCGGGTCAAATTCTAGCCCCGGTGGCTTGAGAAACACCTGGGTGTGCGTGCCCCAAACCTGACAGGACGGAGAAGTGGAGGAGAGACTGTGGCATGGCCACACCCCACCAGTGCCACCTCCCCTCCCTCACTGTCTCTCAGGTGAGTGCATGCACCCACTGGCAAAATTCAAACAATAAACGGGACCAGCAGTTGGCGTAATGGCTATGTCGCTGGACTCCCACGTAGTCAACCGTGGTTCGTCCATGCGTGCCCAGGACCCCGAGAGAACGGAGAAGGGGTTGCAGTGTGGCCATCCCCACTGGGGGGTGATTTCTTGTTTTCTATCTCTCTGTCTCTCTCTCTGTCTTTCTGGTGAGCCCACGCGCCCAATAAGAAAAAAACTCTCCAAAAAAAATTTTTTTAAATAAAAATAAAACAAGAGTGACCAGCCGATGGTGTAATGGTTACGCTGCTGGACTCCCACATAGTGGACCGTGGTGTGAGACCCAGACCTGGTGGCTTAAAACTCACGCCAGGCGGGGATCAGCAGTTAGCGTAATGGCTATGTCGCTGGACTCCCATGTAGTCCACCTCGGTTTGCGTCCCGGACCCAGTGGCTTAAACCTCACACCGGGCACATGTGCGTGCGTGCCCAAGATCCCGAGAGAACGGAGGAGAAGGGATTGCGATGTGGCTATCCCCCCAGGGGGTGATTTCTTGCTTTCTGTCTCTCTCTGTTTGGCGAAGGCACGCGCCCTATAGCAAAAACCTCTCCCCCCCCCAAAAAAAAAAACCAAAAAAAACCTCACGCCAGGTTCACGTGCGTGTGTGTCCAAAGTCCTGAGAGGAGAAGGGAGGAGAAAGGATTGCAGCATGGCCATCCTCCCGGGGGGTGGTTTCTCGCTTTCTGTCTCTCTGTCTCTCTCTGGTGAGTGCATGTGCCCTATAGCAAAAAAACTCTCAAAAAAACCCAAAAAGAACAACACAAGAAATACCAGCTGTGCCCGAAGGCGGGAGGAGTCCCACGTGACCGAGCAGAGGGCAACATGGAGTGGAGGGCCTCAGGCACCAGAGTCTTTGGTGCCAAAGGGACTCTGAGGCCGTGGGAGGAGGTGACAAGGGAATCCCTGGCCAGCCGTGAGCTTTGGCAAGACTCCCACTTCAGGCCATGCCAGGGTGGCCTGGATGCTGGGGATGGGCCCCGAGCTGCAGACGCACTCCGGAAATGTGCTCTCAGCACAGTTGCCTGGTGACAAGGGAGCTTCATGGCCTCACAGGGACGAGGAAGGCCAGGGTCGGGAGGAGAGGGTGGTGTCTGTGACACCCGTGGCTCTGACTCTGGGGCTCCAGGAACATGTGGGTGGCCAGTGACCTGGAGAGTGCTGGGTCCTGGGGTCAGCAGGAGGGAGGCCGGTGAGGGGGGTGCTTGGGTGCCGGGAGCTCCTAAACTTTCTCAGTGGTTGGCCGTGGCCTTGGCAGGGACCCACAGGCCCTGCGGCAGGACCCCAGAATCCTGGCCCCGGGGGGCTCAGTCTGGGTTTTACCAAGTCTCCTAGGCCCAAGACCCACCCAGAGAGGGCCCAAATCCGGTGACAGACCCAGAACATGCCCTCGCCAAACCCATTTCCTGACCTGTGACGTGGGGCGGCCCTCTGTGGTGTGGCCCTCAAGGACAGAGGTGTCTCAGGAGCCGTCCTGTGACCAGCTCACAAGCAACCACTGAGGGTGACAGCAACTCACCCTGAGTGACCACAGGGCTCAGCCCAGGGGCCTCTGCCTCCACAGACCTCCTGGACCCCCAGGACCCCGACCACATGGCTGCCTGCATGGTGTGGTCATGGCCTGTGCACGTTACTGACACCCACCTGAGCCACCTTCGAGTGTCCACATGTCCCCGTCCCCTGCCTGCTGTGTCCACCGTGCCCCTCACATAGTAGGGCTCGATACACGCTTGCCCGAGTGGAGGGTGGGAGGGTGGCGGTGGGTGTGGCGTCGGGAGACTTGTGCACTAAGCGGAGGCTGCTCTGCACTGGCCGTGTGAACCTCTGCAGTTCACCGGCGCCTCCTCCATCTGCCTGCTCTGCTTTCCTCGCTCAATCGGAGCGGTTTTTTTTTTTTTTTTTTGTAGTTTTTTACTTTGTGAGCGTC